ATAAGTCGTAGATATTTATATTTAAATTTGCATTTCTCTTATTTCCATAAATAAAAATAAATCGAACTCAAAAAAGCAATGCAATAGATTCAAGTATAAATTAATATCAAAATGTTCTTACTTAATTACTTAATTTAAACTACATATTCTATAACTTGGCACTTGATCGAAGTCATAAGTTAATTTCGATTTTAATACAATATAATTGTGGGGCATTTATATTTTTTGATTTAGTCATATTTCTAGTATTCTTGTATTCATATATGAAATTCTTAATGACACTATATGCATAATGGATAAAACTGACTTTACTCCGGCCTGACAGGAGTAAGCGAATTCATCACTTTTTTTTGTAATTAAAAGCAAATTGTAAAAAAACTGTAAGCCTATAAGCCAGAATCCTCCAAAAAAATAATCCTTCGATTCAGAAATTCTCGTAAATTATCCGCGCCTTATTTATGGATTTTCGAAATATCACGAATATTACATATGAATAAAAATCTATTATTGTTAAATAATTATTCAAATATATATACTGTTACGAAATTACTGCTTACATTCTAAGTGGATTTTGCATGATTTTGTAAATAATTACAAAATATCTCGATTTTGTAATAGTTGAGTGTCACAGTAAAGGGATTTTGCAAGATTTTTAAACTCATCCAAAATCTCTGATTTTTAGAATAGTAAAGTAATAAATCATTTATTTACGCTGTTTCAACGCAACATATCTTGAATTCTCATTACTAACACCGGCAACATAATCTGATACCAAAATCAGTTATAATTATTATCTTTAAATGTTTATAGCTAGTTTAAATTGGAATTTTTCCTAATCTACTTCGGTGTTTCCTATATTCTTACGAATCTTTTACACCCTATTTTTAAAAATTTAACACTTGGTATACTTATATATTGAAAAATATATATATGTATTACAAGAAAAAGGAATAAAAATAATAGTTTTAAACTTATTCGTCATCGTCAAAAGGAGTTCAAGTATAAAGTGTTACACATTATAGTACTTTGTCAAAAAGGTTGAAAATATTCAAGTTTATTGTTTAGTTCAATACATTCAAAGTTTTAGCAAGTAGGTCTCTAATGTCTAAATTTTTTTTTCCATCTATTTAATTTGACTTGGAGATTAACGTCATTTCGAAAAATAAATACGGATGTTCGAATTTAGTTTTTTTTTGCGTTCGTATGACACCATTTTAGTCATTGCACCTAGTCATTGGTGTTTATTGAGAACGACTTGAAATTTCAAAATAACATTTAAAAAATTTCTCGTAGTGATCAGAATTACTGTGTTGTACGCCAATATTGCTTTCATGATTCCTATAATCGTAGGTAAATTTTGCCCAAACTGCCATTTTATATAAATATGTCTTAAAGAAAGTTGTGTGTATTTTACTGAACGTTATTTGCATTCTCTAGAATCTATTCTGTGAATCATCAAATTCTTACAGATCACAAAGTATTCAACTTTTTGATTTCGATACACTATCTAAGTGTTCCAAACTATTAGATCTAACCTATTCTAAACATATGAACTCGTGGAATATGAATTCGAAAAGTATTTTAGTATTTTCATTGCAATAAAAATATTCCTTTTAATTGTTATAATTAAAAAACATTGATTTTTATATCTAAAAAAGGGACATCTGTAAATTATTTCGTGTCTATCTTGAACTCTACTTAAAACAGTTTTTCTAATATAAAAATTGTTTTTCTTTTTAATCATATGTTTAAAGAAAAGAATACTTGCATTTGAAAAAGTTGTACTTTATCAATGAATTGATTATAATTGTAAATTATAAATTTAATTATATTGGTACTTAAATAACGAACTTTATTATAAACATTTTATTAAAATTTTATTGATTTATTTAAATTACTAATTAAATTTGATAAGCAAATTTTAATTAAGAATTTAGCTTTGGACTGACGCTTTTAGTGGCAATCGCATATTATTAAGAAAATATTTCAAAAAACAAAAAAATAAGTGTGCAGTATACTTATTTATAATAATTTCAACTAATTTATGGACCTTATACGGGAAGGTAATAGAATGAACATTTCAATGCGTTCAAGTCTGTTAGCAATCTTAACTATTTTGATTGAGTTAATTATATTTGTAGCAACATTTTGATATGTCAATGTTTAATGACACTTGTAGTTGTTGTTTTCATACATCCGTGTACATCAGCGGTTAACATTTGTGTCCGTATGCACCAGATGCTTGATGTATCTTGGTCAATGTTAAATATTAATAAAGAGTAAAACCGCACTCAACTTACTTAACAGTGCGTTGGTGTCATATGCAACAACCGTCAAAATGGCAGACAATATAAAATAAAAAAAAATATAAAAATAAAAAAAAAAGATAAAAATTTGCTGGTTTTCCTGCCATTCATTATGCTCACCTTTACTGATGCTGTCACCGTTGACGTTTCACTGAAGTACAATTGTGGTCCGGTTGCTTTGCCACACCATGAACCTCCTGTGAACGGTCGACCCAGTTCGCTGAGCTGTAAATACATAAAAATTAAAACAAATGAGTATAACAGTGGGTGTATATATACATATAACACAATTTATTTATATATACTCATATTTTTGGAGCTGAGTGCACTGAATTTATAAATCAATTAAGAGTCAGTAACTCTATAAATAATTGCTAAGCAATTTTAATCAATGCTTTGAGTTAAACTCTAAAACTATAATATTAATTTAACTTTATCTTTTATTATTTTTATATTTATTTATAATTAAATAAATATTTTTAGCTTTTAGTTAGTTTCAGCCTGATTTACTGCATTAAATCCGAACTTTTTATTGAATTTTTTCTAACTATGTATAAAATAATATATATAATAATTGGAATTAGTTCTATTAATAAAATTTCAATTTATAGTTTAATTTATGCAGTTTATATTAAACAATTTTTTTTTTAAATTTCTGTATATTAACAGTATCAGCTTATTCACGATATGCGTCATTAAACTTATTTTCTTTAAATATTATCAAAAAATTCAGGTCACGCATTTGATTATTAGAATTTATAAGAACAATAAAGTTGAAAGCATAAAAAAATGTATAGTGATGAATTTCTCAAACTCTTTGATATTATAAATAAATTATAAATAATAAATATGAAGAGTTAAACTTATTGAAAATTACGTATGCTTTTGTCACAAGTGGTTTAATATCTGATTAAGCAATTACAATCAAAAATGATAAAAAAACGTCATAAAAACAGACTCCAGATGGTGAGTCTATTTATTAGTAGCTTCAATAAAAAAATTTCTAGCTTTAAAGCCAAATATCTCGAAAACTACGCCATGTTGACATATAGCGTAGTGAAAGAATTTGATTAAAATAGTTGTATTTACTAAATTCTGTTGTCTTATAGGTTTATCTGTAAAATTCTAAATTGGCTCACAGTTTGCTCACAGTCCCTCCACAATTTTTTCGTTTCTTAGAGCAAAAATCACTTTTTTATATAAGGTGTAATATACTATACATTGTAGATATTAAATAAATGTATATCCAAACAAATTTGATTTATTTCAAAAAAACCTCTTTATGAAATACACTAAGTTTTTATTAAATATAATAGTCACTTCCGTCTGAAAAATTTAACGTTAAATTACACTTTATATTCACAAAATATTGATCTCGCCCGTTCAACTTGTGGAGTAACCTTAGCATGATTTTCTCAGTATTACGTTCCTAGATTAGGTCCTGTACACAAGAAAGAATATATAAATCATTCAAAAAATAATGCCTCTACAAACAGAATAGTATTGAAATTAAACAATTAAAAAATAAAAAATATAATTTATTAATTCAATTATTCTACAGCTGGTTTATGATTTCGCTCTAATATAAATAAAGCAAATGAATTTGTTAATAAAACTTTTACAGCAAAGTAACAAAACTCCAGAAAAATGTGCGAACATAAAAGTCAAGTACAGCTTTGGGTCACTTGATTAAAGTGCACTGAGTCTGAGCTTCAGATATGGCAGGGCACGAGTTCGATTCCTGGTACTTGCAGTCTCAAAAAATTATTTACGAATAAATAAATACAAGAATTATTTCCAAGACCACTGATGATAGGTAACATATTTGGCAATACTCGAAACAGCTTCATGATCAGCCAAAAATTCAATTAATTAGAATAATATAAAAAACAATTTTTATTGTTATAGTTCACTACTGTTCGGTCCTATATATATATACCTATATATATCTTATATATATAATTCTTCTGTACGTGTGTTGACAGTGAACTCCTCCTAAACGGCTGAACTGATTTTGATGAAAATTTTTGTGTGTGTTCAAGTGGATTCAAGGAAGGTTTAGATTCACAATTTGGCCCACTGGATAATGTCTTTTTAATCAATTTTTTATTTTTTGCTATCCATATACATTTATATTAAAAATTTAAAATTTATTCATGCTTACTTTGATTTGTTTAAAAACTTTAAAATCTCTAAAATGAATTGTAAAACTGACGTTGCATAGCTTAAGTGCATTTAAATTCCGCAGCATAATTATAGGTGAGCCAATTTTTAATCTTAAGTTATGTGGTGGTATTGCTGGTAAATCCAGTGAAATTCAAAAATTCACAAAAAAGAAGAATTATATATATAAAGATATAAATATCGTACAAAAAACAATGCCACGTCTTCGTGGACGAGGACGAAATATTGGTCGACGGACTCGGAATTTACAATTACTCCAGAACCGTCGGTTAAATAGATCGGCAGAAAACAATGAAGATGTAAGAAACCAGGATACAATTACACGTGCTAATGAAAGTCAAGAGCAAGGCAACGAACGCCAGGAAAATTAATTGCAAGGGGAAACAACGTTCGCCGGGTCAGCTAGTATATATATATATATATTTGAAAACGTTAAACAGTATTCATTAATGAGACTAACTCAGAAACTGTGCTTGATAATTTAGAAGAAAAATATAATAAAATTTATATTAATCTATAATAGAACAGAAACAAAATAGATGAATATTCCTTTTATTAAAAGCCATTCAATAAACGTAATCTCGGTGCAATATCAAAACCTTCACATAATTCCAGGCATTACAACAGCTTGTTGAGTTTCTGTCTAATTTGATAAGAATATTTATTTAATACTTAAGAAAAAATAACAATGTTAGCGTACTAAACTTTTATTTAATTCGTTCGAACATTAACCCATATATTTATTGAAAGTGTGACTTGCATTTTATTGAAATCCTGCAGCCATATTTGCTACTTAAATCCTTTTATAAGTGCAGCGATTTTTCAATAATTCGATTACGTTTGTTTGATGCACAATGGAACCAATTTCCGATGCAAAACGAAATTATGAGGAAAATAAAAATGTAAAGAAATATTACGCGTACAATGAGGATTCAGAATGTTATGAAAAAAAATCATGACCATAATTTCGACCTATAATATTTCCTTTATGCCACTGAATGCAAACATTGTAATTGTTTCGTTATTGCTTGCAGCATACCAACAAAAACAGCAGCTCCAGTAACCATGCCATATTCTCAGCTGAACTAACTTACTTACATTCATACCCGTTCATGCGGCGCTGTTGTACAAATTGCTTATGTGTGCAATATGTGCATCGGCGTCCACGCGCTTTTATAGGTTAAGTCGAATCAAATGCATTATTGGAAAAAATTACAAACGCAAAAAAAAAATGCACAAAATGGAAAATATTGTAATGCAAATGAAAAAACTTAAATAAGAAATTGAAAAAATAGTGAAAAAAAATTGTGTATTGCAAATAAATAAATTGTAAAAATTGATAAACGGAAGCGAAACAGTGAAAACATTCACTTTAAATTGTGTCCCAACTGAGTTTTATCGTCTGTAGCCAAGTTTACAAAGCGAAAAAACAACTGCCAACTGTCAGTGTGAAGTCGCAGCAGGACAAAAACACAATAACAGGACGAAACAGAATTGGCACAAACGGTAAAGTATCTGAAGGTTTAGAGATTTCATGTGTGTACTGCATTTGCGATGTGATTTTTTTTCATTTTCGTATTTTTTGAATAATTTTTAAACAATTTTCGTTATTTGAATGCGTGGTGTTTATTTATTTATGTATTTTTTTGTGTGAACTGCACGTGTGCATAAATGCCTGGCAGCATTTATATGTGCAAATATATTGGAGCACTGCATTTGGCGCATTGTGCACAAATTACAAAAACCGCAGAGCTGCACAAAAACTTCACAATACAAATAACAACAAATTTAAATTTTTAATTAAAATCGGTTGTGGAAACTTCACTTGCATGCTACACTCTTTTCTTATACCTTGTCAAAAACTTTGCATGCGAATTTGTTGTAAATAAGAACAACAACATATTATAACAATATGTATAAACTTTTCCATTATAATATTTATTATTTGATATCCTATTGTGTTTCAAAATTTTAGTTATATCCCTTATCTAAAAATTTAATAATTAATTTATGTTTATTATATGTTTCATTCAAACACAGTTGTACATAATTATATATTAAGGGATTATATTTTAACGCCGATGAAAATTAATATCTGATGGTTTTTAAGCTAAGCATTTTTAATTATTTAATTTTATAAAAATTTACTAGTTTCCGCCACTGTCAACAGTTTGTTATTATGAAATCAGGGAACTACTGTACAGTGTCAAAGTGTTCAATACAGTATTTCTAGCACTTGAATTAAAGGAGCATAGTTCAGTATTTTTTTGTTAATGAATAACAAGCGGTTAAATAAGTAAAAAATTACTATTTAATTCAAAACAATAGCAATCTTTACAAAAGTTTTATTTGCAAGACAGAAACTTTTATATTATGGGGGCCACTATTTATTTTTTGAGCTTTGGCAACACTGATTGTTGCCAGGTGACATCTGATGTTTTCATACGAAAGTTTGACATTATTAAACATTAATTGTTTATTTAAATTATTTGTTAATTGAATGTTAGGGAAAAAATAGAATTAAAGCGAGAAAATTTTCGTGTGATGAACTTAAAATGATCAATGCCGAGTGTTATATAACCATTTTTTTTTTGTTTACGGGAAGTATGCAGTAAATACGTCGGATTATTCTCCATCTTCATTAAGACAATGGGAATGTTCACATATCTTGGGTTACAACCGAATATTTGAACATTCAAATAGTTGAAACTCAAATTGATGGGTCATCTGCTGTACATACCTGATTTGTGTAACCAATGACATCTTCTTGTTTTCGGACGTAACCATTTTTGTCGTTGTCGTCAGAAGAAGCCCATGTTGCGTTTAAAAATCATGTTTTCATTTGATCATTTGAATGCATGCAAAAGTGTATTAAACATAAAGGAGAATACTTCGAGAAACAATAAACCAATTTTTAACAACAAGTCAGTATTTTTTTCATTATTAGACTCAAAATATAGATAGTGACCCTCATAGAGTTTTTTTATGTACAATTAGATTTTTATAAAAACTGTAAAAATTAATATTTATAAATTGAAGCAAT